TTTGGGTTTTTATCACTTCAAGTAGGAGGAAAAGATCCCCTTCAAATTTATACAGAGTTGGTTATTAAAGATTAAAAAAAGAAGCATATATAAAATCTCAGACAGTAAATCCCTTTTTAATTTAATGCAAAGAGTGCTCCTAAAATCAAATACCTTATTGTCTCTTTTTTGATTAAGCCACCAGCATATGCTGACTAAAGCTTACTATAACTTGCATTAATATATGGAGAGTCTTTTAAAGGATGAAGGCGAGATACAAATATATGATTTCGTGATAAATTAGTGAAGAGGGTTTCTAAATGAATTAAGTGCTTTTTGCACCAACTCATAATAAGGTTTTCAGATTTTGTGGTAGGCCCTACTCGATGAATTCTCTCTTTCCCATATTCATGGGACTTTTTGAATGTATTAGTTGAGGAGTTGGCCCGAACTCATTTTTCAATACACAGTTTTATTGGGAGTGATGCGACACAGCTCCAATTAAAAAATTTGATTGTAACTCCATGTTCACATCTTTTTCACCCACACTATCGGAGCATACACAATAGCATAACTTTATAAAGACACTAATACAATTCTTCCTTCTGCGATGAAATTTTAAAAAAATCTGCAAACAAGACTGAACTCATAAATAGCAACACATCACTCAGCTTATTCACTAGACTTTTGAAGAAATGAATAATTTGTTTTGCATTATAGTGCAAAATCTCATTTTTTACACTAGTTAAATATTTATTTCAAAATCCATGTGCCGATCTAAGTAATATTTTGATGATTACAAATGTTACTAAAATTTAGATCATCTTAATTATGACTCTTATGTTATAGTAATTAGCACATCTTTTCTTTTTTGTGATACTCAACATTTCAAGTAACAACAGAAGAAGCTTACTTCATACATCAAGGAACAAAAAAAAGAAAACCTCTTTTATTAGCATGACAAAAGGCCACATATGAACAGGAGACAGAATATATAAAAAATTAAATGTCGTATCACTAAAATAACCTATTGAAAACTGATGAGAAAGGGGATATAAGATGTAACTAGAAGAGAAGCGCGTACAAATATGTACAATATATTTCGAGACATATTTTGAGTTAACAGAAAAAGTATACGTTTCAAACACAGCGTGTTACAACAATTTTCCGAAACACGCGATAATTGCATGGAGGTTGTAAATCTCTGCCCCATCAGCACAACGAGATGGATGGTGAGCGCCTGCCGAGGCATCATCTCGCAACGTCGCAGATTAACTTCGCTACCCATTACTATGTTGTCACCAAATATAATAATCTATATAAAATAATCTAATTATAAATTTATTTTTAAATCTCATGATATTCACTTGTCATTTAGGCTTTATTTGGGACAACTTTCATACTATTTTTTAAATCAACTTTCGATTACAAAAATTACTAATATCTAATAAAACATTTTTCTATTTTTAAAAATCCAAAGTTCATCTAAAATTTATTATCTATAGTGACATATTTAGTTGTAATTGTTTTAAAATATCCGAGAGTGGACATAATATTTTATCTTCAATCGCTACTAATAAATAATTACTAATTTTATTTAAATTTCACAAATTCAAATATTATTTTACTTATCTCTTGATCATATCTTTTAAGAGTTTTCTTTATTATTATAACACAAATTTCAGTAGAAGCCTCATCAGTTAGATTTCTATAAGGGGGTATTTATAGAAAACTCCATACTAAGTTGCCTTTTTTTTATTTGGTTGAAAATGCCCTTTTGGTTGCTCGAAGTTAGCAATTATGTTTCAAAAAAATATTTAAACTTATTAAATCTAATACTTAATAAGAAGCAATTAAACTATAATATTGATTTCAAATTCTACAAACCTCAATATTCTCTCCAAACTAAATATTTTATTTTAAAACGCATATTTTCCGCCTACAAGTAATCAAATGAGCCCTTAGCTATTAATTGAATTATTCATCCTAATAAAATAAAGACAGAATCCTACTGCTATATTCATTTATTTCAGCATTCTGTGACGTTCTTGGAACTTGCATACGATTTTACCTAAAACTAAAAATTTACGCTTTACATATATGTTGGTTTCTTATTTATTTAGGGAATGTAAGCAACTAGACAATCGATAGCACAAAAATCTATAAAACTCTCAAAAAAAATTAAATTTCTGTTAAGAAAATACAGCAGCTTTCCTATTTATGAAATGAAAAACAAAAACTATTTTAAGCCAAAAGGCTGCCTTTACTTAAAATTTCGGCAAATTCATGATGAAAAGTAAACGAGATTTTTTGTATTTCTTTTGGGATGGCTCTCTTGCTACTTTGTAGAGCTACTTTTTAATATAAAAATTTTTGAAAGAAGAAAAAAATAATAATAATAGTCAAACTATTCAGTCCTTCTAGATTTTATTTGGGACAACTTTCTTACTCATTAAAGTAATTTTTTAGTATAAAAATTTTAAATTTTATTTCATAAAACTATTTTAAGGAGCAATAAGAAAGTCATCCCAATCAGAATCTTAGTCTTGATCAATGATGGTGCTATATTTGAATTTTACGCTAAAATATTCAGTTAAATAGCATACCTAAGGATCAAACAACAAGTAGAAATAAACAACCAAAAATAGAGTATATTTTCAAAAACAGATCTTTTGCATAACCTATATGCAAAAAAATTTCCTTATATACCGACATTAAAACTGAATGGTTAAGAAATGCTTATATTACAGCAATGTAACATCACTAGTTGAGACAACTCGAAAGGATTTTCACTGGGAAATAAATCTATTAGCTGAGAGACTTGGGCAAATACGCTGGCATGAAAAGATAACTGCCTTGAAGTCATGCTGTCCTAAATCTTTCTGCTGCGAGGCAAAATAAAATTAGGTTTTAAAATGTTTTATTAAAAAAATCAAACGCCCTGATAAGCAAAACAAGATTATGTACTCCAACATGCACAGCTTCATGTTATAACCTTTTTTCCTTTTTTTTAATGCTTCCCAGCTCCAACTTCACTGAACTAAAAATTTCAATTAAAAAAAACATTGGATTATCAATGAAGAAGACTGCTGGGATAAGCTTTATTTGGAACAGCTTTTTTACTAGTTTATAAAATAATTTTCTAACATAAAAATTTCTTGAACTTAAAATTTTTATACTAAAAAGTTGCGTTAGAAAGCAAGAATAAAGTTATCTCAAATGAAGTCTAAGGCTTCGTTTGGGACGGTTTTTTTATTGCTTCTTGAAGAAATTTATTAGTATAAAATTTAAAATTTTTATACTAGAAAGCTGCTTCAAGAAGCAGTAAAAAAGCAGTCCCAATAGGAGCCTAAATAACTCAAAACTAAAGCTTTGTTGCAGACAGCTTTCATATTGCTTCTTAAAACAGTTTTCTACTATAAAAATTAAGAAAACTATTTTTAGCAAGGCTTGTATCAATTTCTACTAATCATCGAATTTTTGCAAGCTATTAGTCAATTATCGTAGTACAAATTCGGTCAAAATGTGCATTAACACATAAGTTGTGAAAACCGGACCGAAAAAATGAACGGTAGAAGCGATTCCACGGCTCAATTGGTTTCGACCAATCAAACCGGATACGTAATGATAAATTTAGAATGACATAAAAATTAAATAATAATACAATTTTGATTAAAAAAATAAATTAAATTTACACATTACTATATCTTATATAATTTTTAAATTTAATAACATCTTCCATAACTTTAAATTAATTCAAAATTCTAAAAATTAACTTACATATCAATAAATAAGTTTAATATAAATAAATATTATCAAATTGTATTATATATTTATATATTTTTTATATATTAAATTTCATATTATATTTTAAATTTATAAATTATTAAGAATAGATTAGCAATCATTAAAAGTAAATAACTTATTAAATTTAATTTTTATAAGTACATAAAAAAAATGGAAGAAATAATTTGATTTAATATAAATAATTAAAAATAGAATATTATTTAATCATATAAATTTATTTAAAAAATCTATTTAAAAAGATGCAATAGATGCCTGCCAAAACTGAAGAACTTAAGAAGGAAGAAATAAAGCTTAACTTTTTTTAATCCTACATCACTTTGAGAAATTTTTTTCTAGTAATCATGCTGTTACTTATAATTGCTTTATTGAGCCTAGAATATAATACCTCATGAAAGTGACATACACTTTCTGGAAATACTTAATTGAAATTTTATTTACAATATAACATTTTAAATTAAAATTATAGTATAATATTCTTAATATATTTAAAATAATTTATTTAAGCCATTAAAAAAAATACAAAGTTGAACAAGATACTCTCGGTTCAACTAGATCGTTGCCGATTCAAACCGAAATAGTTGAACCAACAGTTTTGTCCGAGTTTTGAACCGGTTTTTGGTGACAGATGCGGCTTACTTAGAATCATAAACCGACTTGAGCCCGCCTATAAGGACCGGTTCACGTTGAACCCAGTTGGACTGGCTGGTCAAGTCCGATTTTTAAATATTAGATAAAAGATCATACAAAAGGAATCAAAGAAGCTTGGGTTAAAAAAAAAAAAAGAGATAAATAGAATAATGCATCTTATCCATTATCAAAGAACAGCTCTATTCAAAAAGAAATAGCTCCATGCTATAAGAGAGAATGCTAGAATGAAAATCCCATTGAATTGCTTTAATATGCGCTTTACAGCATAACTCATCCACGGACTACATTAATGCGCTGCTCCATTCTTTGACATCAAAAGTAATAACGCAGAGCATTCCAGATAGGAACCAAGCAATTTAAGAGGAAAGTTTTAATTCCTGCAATATCACTTTCAATATTCCTGAACAAAGTATCAAGACTTTTCAAAAGCTGAGGGGATACTTTCTGTACCTGAACACAAGCATGAGCTGATCTTCCACGCAGAATAAAGGCGAGGCCTCCAGTAGCAGGTGGAAAGGAGTCACACACTCATTTAACACTGGCCTTAGATCTTGCCACCGCGGAAACAAATCTACGAGCAATTTTCCCACTAATAAGAATAGCAAGTACCAGAACGTCATTATCATATTATAATTGGAGAGGCTAAAATATCTAAAATTTTCAATTATCCAATTCACTTTTGATGGCTGAGATTACTTATCTCAAAATCACAGTGATTTTGAATTTCAAACTGCTAGAGTCAATCCCAGCAATCTAAAGTGGATCAGATGGCAAGGATTGAAGAACTTTATTACCTAATTGTCACACGGTGATTGTAGAGGAATCCGAATCATTATAGAAACTTGAGTTTTTTCTAACGTAGAAATAAGAGAGGAGTATTTTCTTTTTTTCTTTTTCAAGAAAACTAATAGATCGGTTGAATGAGGGATAAAATATGAAACTAGTTATAAACATAGAAGGAGAAATTTGTGTTAAAAAATCAAGAAAATAAGTTGGGGAGAAGAAAGCATTTTGAAGTAAGTAATGGTCTAAGGATTACAATTATGCTATTTCCTACACTAATCTAAATTATTTTTTGGAAATAATGCAATAAACAAAACTACTATCAGACAGAGAAAGCTGATGTAGTAGCCTTAGGATCCAAGACTTTTTAATATAGATATAAAATAAGATGAACAAAATTACACAATGCACAAATTTGTGGATCACAAACTCTTAATTTAGAGAACTTCATTACTTGGATGAAAATTGAAAATATGATATAGAAAATTTGTGTAGATGAAAATTAAATAGCCATTTGTAAAATTTTGCCCCCTCCGTTTCATCAACAAGAATCCTAGAACATTATAGTGTGAAACTTGCTAATTATTAAATAAACTGAAATGCTACACTATCCAATATTTATAAAAACCTCACAACTTTTGCAGATATCCTTAGTAACATAGTGGATCATCTTAAATGAGCAATATTTTCGGTGCTAGGTGGTTTATATCCTTAAGAGGTACAAAGCTACGATGCACCGACACTTCTCCTTAAAGAGGACACGTACTAATCCGACGCGTCCGACACACCGAAAATATGTCCGATTAAAAAAATATTAAATACAAATTAGGCACGCGTGTCTTAAATATTTTATAAATTTTATTTAATATAATTTTTTGTATTTAAAATTTTTATTTATTTAAATATAAAAACTAAATTTCTTATTTTTTATTCACAATACTAAATCAATCGCCCGCACTCAATATCTCATTCATCGAATATCCTCATTTTCATTTCTCTTTGGTCAGTCGCGACTTTGGTTTCACAATAATGTTCGATATCATCTCAACATCAAAATCTGACGTCGTTACAACATCGACATTTCAAAATCATCTCAACATCAAAATCTGACGCTGTCTTGACATTGATGCTCGACGCTAGCAATTTCTACACCCACAACTTGACAACTCCTCTTTGTTCGACGTTGTCTTAACATCGATGAACAACGCCCTTTCAACATCAAGGACAGACGCCCTCTTGACATCAACATCGATGATCGACTCTTGAAACAGTGCTGAAGCAAAATTCAAAGCCATGGCCCATTGAGTTTGTGAAGGTATGTGGCTTAAATGTTAACTCAATCTGAAAGTTTTCACAACACAACTAAAGATAATTACATGTGACAATCAAACTACTCTTAAAATTACTAAGAATCTTATCCACCACAATAGGACAAAATATTATGGAATTGATGGATACTTTATAAGGAGAAAATTAGAAAAAAAAAAACATCAAAGCTAATTATACTCCAACAAAACTTTAAATTGTAGATATCCTTATTAAAGCACTTAATTAACACAATTTGACAGCCTTACTTTCAAGCTAGGGGATATGCAAATCCAATCAGCTTCTCAATTCTAACTCCTGCAATCAATCTGCCTTAATTTCAACTCTTGCAATTAAATCTGAAAGGCAACCTATTCTCCGCTCCTACAGTTCACTCCAAGATGCAACCTAACTATTGATTTCTCCCACTAACTCACAACAAGCCCATCAATTACTCCCTGCATTGTAGACTCAAACCAGCTTATTCCTCTGCATGTCATACAAGACCTTGCCGTAAGTTATCCACTAGCTTATAAGAAAACGGGTTATTTGTTACATTCATTCTCCAACAACAACAACATCAAGCCTTCATCCCACTACGTGGGGTCGGCTACATGAATCCTTTTTTGTCATTGTGTCCTATTAAAAGTCAAATTCTCATTTAAATCTAATAAAGAAAGATCATTTCCAATATTTTCTAACCAAGTCTTTTTATGTTTACCTCTATCTTTCTTAACATAAGTCAAATCTGATACATCAACTTTCCTAACCGGGTCATCAGAAGGCCTCCGTTTAATGTGGCCAAACCATCTAAGGCAACTCTCTCTAAACTTATCTTCCACTGGAGCTACTCCAACATCATCTAGTCTATGCTCATTTCGTATCCTATCTCTAAGGGTAAAGCACTCATCCACCTAAGCATCTTCATCTCAGCAACACTTAACTTAGTATTATGCTTCTCACTTAAAGGCCAACATTCGGCACCATAAAGCATTGCAGGTCTCACCACCATCTTATAGAATTTTCCCTCTGAACCGAGTGGTTTTGCCGCCAAATGGCACCACGAAATAGCAGTTATGGCCAGAGCTAATACGTTTCTTAGTGGGATCAAATCCTTGTGATATGAAACAATATAATATGATCGATAGGTCATAAAGCCCTCTGTTTGCTAAGGTTGATTCAAATTTGTCCCCTTAGAAAAACATCCACCCTTGGTTTATAAGGTACCCTTGGACGAAGCAACCAATGGCTACCGACAAGGATCCTTCTATCAGGTTGGGTCGACTACCTCCTTTGACTAAGTAGACCAGAGACCACGATGTCCAGGGACGACAGAACCATGGGATCTTGATCGGGTCCATCATTCATTCCCCCACCATCCCGCTTTAAGTAGGAGATGGTGAAATTTCAAATTTTAAATATCAAACTTTTCAAATTCTCAAATTCCAAATCATGCTGCTACTATACACCTGATACTACGTATCTATAGATACAACGTATCTGATTGACGACTTGCTTTAATCGAAAGTTCTCTCTCATTATCGGGAGAGTTAATTAACTATAGGAGTTTGCGCCTATAGGAAATCAGAACTCATATCATAAAGTCCTCACAAAATGAGGGTGAAATCTCTGGGTAGTGTCTTATCTACAAACTCATCTGTCTTCCCAAAATTTACCCCGAAACAATCAGTTAAAACTCCCCCGAACAAAAAAAAAAAGAAACAGTTTATTTTCATTTAGGGTGCTAAGTCACTCCAATCAATTGTATTTTTATATTCTTTCTTAAAAAGTTTAACAAAACATCTTATCCACATTTGTTAAATATCATCTTCTAAGAAAAGTATTTTTTGATCTTTATTCTTAATACACTTTAACACTGTCGTTGCCAGGTCCCAAGTCCTGGATGAGAAAAGTGGAGGGTTGCGTAAGGTAGTCGAGACAGCCAGACGTATAAACTTGTCGAAACAAAATGACATGAATCCTTTAAGAAGAATGCTTAATATGCTAGGGCGTCCCCTGGGAAGCGGACGCGCTGTATGGCCTGAAATACGAGTGACAAGTGGAACACAAGGGCCGCTGCACCGGCGCCGGAGTGCAGTGTTAAATAGGCAAGGGTTCCTACACCTCAAGGACGGATTGTGGGCACAGATAGCTAGTCCATGATACTAAAATTAGGATAGGAACTTAGGAATATAGGTTCCCTTTAACAGGTAAAATTAATGAGTTAATAAATCAATTATGATTCATAGGAATTAAATTATTTTATGCATTCAGGAAACTAAGTGGGTTGGAGAGAAGGGCCAAGAAGGAATACGATAGTTTATAAGAATTAAACTTGGTATTCCGGGTCAGGTAGGAGTCGTACTAGAAAATGCGTGTATGTGTCATTATAGATAAGAGTTAAAGGATAATGTTATAAAAATTAATAAG